TCCTCTTCCAGTCCGGCTCTCTACTATGGCCTGGGAAGGCAGTGGAAGATGGCCCAAGTCCTTGGGCCCCTACACTCACATGGGAGACCAGGAGAAAGCACCTGGCTCCTAGCTTTGGATTGGCACAGCTCCGGCTGTTGCAGCCATTTGAGGGGTGAACAAACACAAGGAAGACCTTTCTCTCTCTCTCTCTCTCCCACTGTCTGTAACTCTACCTATCAAATAAATAAATAAAATCTTTAAAAAAAATAATGATTCCACAATGCTAAATGTGGCGAGAAAGAAAAGGAATGTTCCATCTGTCTTTACTTTCTCTGTAGTAAATTACCTTTGATCCATTCTCAGCTTATTTTTGACATTTCTTTACATTATTCTGCTGGAGACAACTAGAAGTTTTGAATTCTAGACTTAATTTGCTCCTTGTACAGCAGAATGGCAGCTGAAGTTAGGAGGTTGAAGTTTAGTCCTCTGCCCATTAGCATGATGAAGTGCCCTTCATCCTCTTCCTTTGGTCTGGCTACAGATGTGAATGGGTTGCTCTCCAGAGAATGGCACAGAGAGGAAGGGAGGGGTCAAGTTCTTGACATCATGTTCCTAAAGAGATTTTTTTTGAAAGAATGAATTTTAAAATTTAAAATATATTTATTTATTTCTTTGGCAGGGAAAAAGAAAAAAGAGAGAGAGAGTGAGGAGAGGAGGAGGGGAGAGAATGAATTTCCCATCTAGAGGTTCACACCCCAAATGCACACAGCAGAACCAGGGGTGGACTAGGCTGAAACTAGGATACCAGAACTCAATCCAAGTCTCCCAACTGGGTGTTGGAGATTCAACTACTTAAGCCATTATCTGCTGCTTTCCAGAAACTGGATTACAAGCAAAGAAGAGACTCAGTCCCAGGCACTGCAATATGGGATATGGACACACCAAGAGGTGGCTTAAGCCATGTACCACAACACCCATCCTCCTAAGGAGATTCTTGTGAATTTCCTTCAGGAAGGATCATGTTAATCTTAAAAAACAGAATTTTTTTATTCCAAGAGTGAGATGTTAAAAGGTACCAAGAAATTTTTGGTTGATTAATTTCATAATTTGTTTCTAAATGTTCAAAAATCCTATCTGAAAGTGTCAAAGACACATCTAGAATAACTCACAGACTGGTTTATGACAAAACCATACAACTGAAAGGAATGGAAGATGTCTTAAGAAGTGGTCTGGGTTTTCCTCCCACTCCCGGAGGAGATGCAACTGAGTGGACCAGGAGGAACCCTGGAGAAGTGAGAAAGGATTGGTCACCCAGAGCCAAAGTGCACAGCAGAGGCAATCAATAAGGGACTAAAGGGACAGTTAATATTAGCAGCACATGTCAGCAGGGAAGCAGTCAGATGACAGATTCTGATACTGTCATCCTCGTCAGGGATCCTTTAGCTCCCTGCTCTGGGGACTATATGATAACATTGTTCCTCCCTGTTTGTATCTGCATTCTTACAAATAGGCAGAAACACTCCTGGGGCACTCCTGGACAAGCATTTTCCAATTACTATAGGCCACCAAAACAATGGCTACCAACTCTCCAGACTCCTCAGAGAGCATCGGTACAGAGCAGTGCCCTGGCCATACTCAGACCTGTTGGGAAAGCCAGAGTCCAGAATGAAAGGGAACTTGGATTCTGTGGGGACCAAGAACCCCACACCTCACTGGAGACGCCTACATAATCTTCAATGTAGAAATAACTGTAGTTAGTCCAGATAAACTCAGGAAGAGGGAGTAAGAGGGCTCCAAAAGATCTGTGGAAGAGAGAGGAGACTCCGATATTCACACATCTTTGAACCCACAGGTTCAGATCTAGGTAAAGCCCAATGTGACCCGGACAGGTTAGCAATCAGAATTTAATGTTATCCTTTTCTTTCACTCTTCAACAGTTCTTAGGTAGATGATCTTGGATGCCTCCCACAGCTCCTCCCTCTACTCTCTAACCTTTCCTTGGGGTTAAGTAAAGGATCCTGTGATTGGCTCAATGAGTCTCAACCCTTTTAGTTTTCATCTCTTGAGTCATATCTACTAATATGTAGGGTTTGAGCTGCTTGTTGTGGTTAACATACAGCTTTATACAAAAAAAATATAAGAAGTTGTATATAAGAAGTTGCCTCCCATGAGGCAAAGAATCCACCTTGCGTAAGAGGCCTTGCACTATAAACTTTTAAATGTTAACTCCTTTTTGTGAACTCAAGAGGCTTCCATAGCCTTGGCAGCTCGGGTGATTACTGACATCATAAATAAGAGTGTCAACTGTTGAATTAATAACAGGAGTCACCGTGCATTTACTCCCCATGTAGGATCTCTGTCCTCAGTGTGTTGTACTATGTGAATTAATGGTAAAATTAGTACTCAAACAGTACTTCATACTTTGTGTTTTTGTATGGGTGCAAACTGTTGAAATCTTTACATAGTATATACTAAGTTGATCTTCTGTATATAAAGATAATTGAAAATGAATCTTGATGAAGAATGGGATGGGAGAGGGAGTGGGAGATGGGATGGTTTGCGGGTGAAAGGGTGGTTATGGGGGGAAAACTGCTATAATACAAAAGTTGTACATTTGAAGTTTATATTTATTAAATAGAAGTTTAAAAAAAGTGTTAACTCCCTGACATCTATGTGCCTTGATTCAGGTGCGAATGCTCTGGGCTCTGTCTCTAGTGTCACAGGTGGAAATATCAAACAGGACTAGATGTTCCAAACTTGTTTATTTTTCTTTCCTAATAGGACTACCTTACACTTCCCTAAGCAGTTTCACTGGGTGGCTCACCAAACCATAACCTGATCCAATAGTTCCCTGGCAAATGACGTCATAGAACTGAAGCTAATAACCTTTAGGACATATCAGGATTTCTGGCTTGACTTGTTGGCTCAGAGTAACAGGAGTGCTTGTTCCTGTTTCCTTGACTGTCATACACATTTAACTTTATCAAAAGCCATATTGATTGTATTGATTGGCAAATTCATTTACTATGATATAGATATAAAACATGTAACACAGCTTTGACACCAACTAAGCATTTGCAATGTGAGCTATTTTTCCTACATGATCTTCAGAGAAGTCATCTTATTTGTCATTCTTTGGTAGAATTATATGCCACACTATATGAGAAAATAATGTCAAAGTTGTTGACATGCCATACTTGGTCTTTTTTTTTATACCCCTGCTTATTCTCCCAGGATTTTCTACATTCTAGAGTGTTTGCAAATATTAACAAACTAAGAATTACATGAAAGCAAACTGAATTCTCTGTGCATTATTCATGGCCTCCATTACCAAGAAAGGGCTGGCCTAGTTTCTTGTTTCCACTGGGACGTTTTGCACAACCCACATTCAGTTTGACTGTAAGCAGTCATGACAGGTAATAATTTTTCAGCCAAACCTAGACATCCACACAACCTTAATACTTGGTGAGACAGCTGAAACCCCCTTTGGGCAATTGATTTACAAAAAATGTACCATGCCTTCTGGCAATCTACCCATTCTGGGATGGATCTCTAAGGATCCTCTGATGGGATTCGAATCAGGAAACGTTGAGGAGACAGATTTCTGTTTAAACTTGCTTATCCTCCAGCCAAGGAGATAGAGTTACCATTTTCTCCCAGAGAATGTTACATGAAGATAAAGAGATTGATTCCTTCTAAGAAAAAAATACATGTGTGAAAGTAATCTCTGTAAGGTAACTTCTTTCTACACATGTAGAGACGAAGACAGAGACAAAGAAGAGACGAGACAGAGACTGTAAGAGACACAAGTGACTGCTATTCTGCTTCCTACCCTGATGAACAGGTGCCACCAGACCAACCAACACTAAGCAACAGAGCCTTCCCTGTGCCCTAAGGAACACAGCACCAACGAGGCGATTTCTCTCAGTTAAATATTTGAGAAATATTTGGCATAGAAAAAGAAAAGCACAACTATACTGGGGATGATGATCATTGGCTAGGGACTCCTTTCTGAGCATCCCCACTCTGTTACTAACTGGGATTATAATAGTCATTGATCCGTTTCATATGGCACAACTGGGTAACACTGATATATCCACCTAACAGAAATATCTGCATCATGAAGACAAGAGTTTATAAAAGCCAAACATTAGAAAAGTAATAGCAAATATTTAGAAAAAATATTATTATTATTATTATATACTTGTCAAAGAGTAGAGTACTTGGTGAGAATATTTTGTTTTGGGGGAAGGTGAATCTGAGTCTTGAAGAGCAGAGATTGGCTGGGAGAAAGGAAGAAGAGTATTTCAGAAAAACTTTTCCAATTCCTAATTACAAAGTACCATAAAGATTGCATCTGAGAAATACCTCTGTACGATTTTCCAGAACTGAATAATGTGTAGCATCAGGACCATTCGACTTGCAGCTAATCATCATACGCCTTTCCTTGGCAGGCCTGAAGGTGACCAGAGTGGACGCTGAGCCTTCAGTTAAGATACTGGTTAGGACTGGAGTCCCTGGGTCAGACCCCTGGTTCCAGCTGCTGATTCCAGCTTCCTATTGGTGCAAACCCTGAGAGGGAGCAGTGATGGCTCAAGTGACTGAGTTCCTGCCACTTACTCGGGACACCTGGATTGAGTCCCCAGGTCCCACATTGGCTTAGCCCAGCCCTGGCTGTTGTAAGCATTTGGGGAGTGAACAAGTGGATGGGAGCTCGCTCTCGCTCTCCTCTTCCTGCGTCTCAAAAAAAAAAATCATTAAAAGAAAAGATGACAAGATAAGGTTCCTGCCTTAGAGAAGCTGAAAGTCTTAACCTTCAATTTTCAAACTGCAACAAATGCTGTTCAAATTAAAACAGTCATAAATGTATTCATCAAATAATGAGCTCTCATTTGCAAAAAAGACTCTTGGATGAAAAAGCTAGTCATTAGTAGCTGGTTTATTATTACTAGTTTTAAAGATTTATTTATTTGAAAGGCAGAGTTCAAAGAGGGGAACGAGGGGGGAGAGACAGAGAGAGAGAGAAAGAGAAAGAGAGAGAGAGAGAGAGAGAGAGAATCTACCATCTGCTTGCTCACTCCTCAAATGGCTGCAACAGCCAGGGCTGGGATAGACTGAAGCCAGGAGCCTGGAACTCCATCCCGGTCTCCTAGGTGGGTGCAGGGGCCCAAGTGCTTAGGCTATCTTCTGCTGCTTTCCCAGGCATATTAGCAGACAGCTGCATGGAAAGTTGAGCGGCCAGGACCTGGAACTGGTGCTCATATAGGATATTAGCTTTTTTTTTTTTTTAAGATTTTATTAATTTATTTGAGAGGTAGAGTTACAGACGGTGAGAGGGAGAAACAGAGAGAAATGTCTTCTGTCCGCTGGCTCACTCCCCAATGGCTGCAACGGTCAGAGCTGTGCCAATCTGAAGCCAGGAGCCAGGTGCTTCGTCCCAGGTGCAGGGGCCTTAGCACTTGGGCCATCTTCTACTGCTTTCCCCGGCCACAGCAGAGAGCTGGATTGGAAGAGAAGCAGCTGGGACTAGAACCGCCGCCCGTATGGGATGCCAGTGCTGCAGGCGGAGGATTAACCTACTGCACCACAGTGCCAGCCCTGGGATACTAGCTCTAACAGGTGAGGCTTAACCTGCTGTGCCACAACACCATCCCCCTGGCCTATTATTTTTAACAAAATAAAATGCTTTCCATGCTTGCCAATACTAAAATTGCTTTTTTTGAAAACAAGAGTACTTTTTTCCTTTGTTCTATTAGTGAAGACAAAGACATAAGTAAAATGATATTTAATTCCCCTAAGAGTGATTTGTCACATTTCTAGTGCCTGAAATTTCTAGGTCCACATTTCTAAGAACCTGATGAAAGTGAGGAACTATCTTCATAGGCACACTCCCATGAAATAGTGCTGTCTACTTCAGAAGCTCAAGGTCCATGGTGCCCATCCATGGATGCCAGTTAATCAACCTTGTTAAACAATTTTGTTTTCAAATGGAAAGTTAGCAATATGCATTCAGCAGAAATTTCTAGAGCACCTACACAATGTAAAAGCACCATATTAGAAATGCAGTTGCCTTCTGTGTTTTAACAAGCCCTCCAAGTGATTCTGATGTATGCTAACTTCAGATCCACTGGCTTAAATCAAAATATGCTGTACCTGGTCCCTATATCCAGAGGTTCTGATCTATTTGGTTTTGTGTTTTTAAAATCTCTCCAGGAAATTCTCATATGCGGCTGTAGGCTGTAGATGAAATCCATTGGTTTAAACACTTAAACACTGGAGATGTGCTTTCTGCTTCCTGAGAAACATTTACAGCCTCAAAAGGAAGAACTTCTGTTTTCCACACCAAAGTACCACGGCTTCCAGCATGCATAGTGACACCAGGCTAAGGTTTCCAGTATGAGATTAGGCATGCTTCCGACACATGGACACTTTGGAGGTTCCAATACGCACCCCTATTCCCTCAATTAATTTATTATTCAAGAGAAGGAGTCTCAAAACCTGCTTTCTAGTTGATTAATGAATATAGATTTCTAGAGTTGTTTTTTTAATAGAAAAGATAAGATACAATCTCTGAGCACTTTGTGTGTAACTAGAAGATTGGAAATCTATTCTTGGGGTGGAGGCTTTTAACTTCCAAATACTGTCCTTAGTGGCAAATAGATCAATTTTTGTTACTAATCAACCATTCTGCTAACAGTTTCTGTAAGACATGTCTATTTCACAACTAATGGAGAAATCTTTGCTTTGAAGAGTTTCTAGGTTTTCAATTCACACGAGAAGCAATTTTTGCAAGTCACTGCACACTGAAATACCTGCATGGAGTCATTAAAGTCAGATAAGAATGCAGTGGCTTTTATTAAATAACCATGCATTCACACATATATACAAAAAAACTTAAGGGAAAACAGCAGCCACCATTGTGTTGAGCATTTACTATAGACATATTACATAGATATAGATCAGACATATGACATATACTAATAAAAATATAATTCATTAAAATCATCCAAAGTTGTTATTATTATCTTCATTTCATAGATGATTGTTCAGACAAACTGAGACTTCTCTTACTCCAGCATCCATGTTCTTTTCATTACATCACACAATCTTCCATCCTAATAGTTATAGCATACCTCTGAAAATTACTATGGGCAAAGATTCAAATGAGAGAATTCAAAGCTCCTCTTGCAACAGAATATTTAAAATGCTTGAGAAACTAACTGCAAAATTCTTATCATCTTCCTGTTTCTGCTTCTGATGAAAACTACCTCAACTTTAAGCTGGTAATATACTCTTATTTGATACTGGATTTATTTTGGAAGGGGCATGAGAGCATGTAGAATGGATTAGCTCATTCACACCATCATTTATTACTGAGTTCAAGTAACAACATCAAGTCAACTAATGCTCTAATAATTATCCCCTGGCTTTGGTGACTTGAAGGAAAATTAACTACATTTAATGAGAAAAACACTATCCATTTTGGGCCTGATTGATGTGATATGTCTTTGTTAAAATGAAAATACAGAGACATTTGCCAAGTCTTCACTTTGCTCAGTTACATGATGTTGACATGACAATGGCCTGTGGGAAGAGAGGAGAGAGTTTTAAGCATCCTCCAGCACCTACTTGCTATTTAATAACATCATAATCTTTCAAACATGATATTGAAAAGTGTAACACATTATTTGACTTACAACAAAATGGCCCTACTGTGTGCCCTATGCATAAGTAATAGATGCAAAGTCTTTCTTACAGAAAGATTCCATATATGTTCATTCTCTTGGAAATCCAAAGGACTGCTTTACAAGTTTCTAATGAAGATATTACAAAGTCCTTTGTCCCACAAGGTTAATTGAGTTATTTGGGTTTACATGATCTGTACACAATTACATAGTTCTGCATTTTATCTTAAACCTATTTTACCTTGTTATCTTTTTGATTCATAAGCATTAATTTATAAACTTTCAACTTTGTCATGTTGGATTATAGAAGTGTGTCTTAGGAAAAATAGAAAATAAAGTGGCTAACTTAAGGGAAAAGGAAAGTTTTGAGCAAAAATGATCAAATAATTTTGACCCAGATTCCTTGTTATCTCACCACATTATTGGCCTCTAAATGCTTATACTGCATGCTGACCTGAAAATGCCACATATTTAAGAAAGAGATAATACTATTCTTGTTAGCAAGATTGCTTTCTCCATCCAGAAATAAATGTTGATCTGTTATATCAAGATAACTTTTCAGAAAATTAGAGTTTTTAATCCAAGCAATAATGATCCAGCCAGGAACCAAAGATTTTGGTGGTGGTACACCACAACCTAAGATACCTAAATTCAAGTTAGTTATTATATTAAATGTCATGGTCCCTTACTTGTATACTGGTTATATTAATATGGTAAGTCATATGCTAAAAGACTTTAAGTGTAACATTACTTTAAAGGGTAGTGAAAAGTGAAACAACCTAAATATTTGTCATTTAGTTAATCTGACAGATCATCCAATAACTGAGTTGATTAATTAAAATGGTAAGTGCCCCCAATCTTATTAATGATATTCACATTTAGCTGTAAAACTTTCATGAAAGCATGTCTGTTTAAAGAAAACCGCAGATAATCTAATACTGTTGTTGGAAGTTTGATCTTGTAACATGTTGGTTTGTATTATCCATTGTTTCCACGCTGAAAATAGATTCGAAGATACCTGGAACTGAGTCTGGTCTCAACAAATATTTGTCAAATGACTGGGTGAGTTCAAGATGATTCCTCAGGTTTCAAAGAGGTCACTGTTGACCATTTTTCCTACCTTTGTAAATTTACCTTTTTATATATAAAAAAGAACCAGCAAATACATTTTCATCTATCTGCTCTATAAATATTGCAACCCTAATTTTTCTTGAAGCCTTCTCTGGAAAGATTAGCTTTAACATGCTTATAACACAGTCATATGAATCTAATGAATACTAAAGCCACAAGTGTCTTAATGAGGGCATGACTTACATTCTAGCAACAGAAGAGAAAGTACTCAGATCTGGAACTTGCATGCAGTTGCCTGAAAACTTAGAAAACAGAAGCTCCTTCCACAGCACAGACTTTCTTACAATTTAGTTTCAATAGAGTTTGGCAGCCAAGTCTATGGATGTTACATAGTAGATACTGTTCACAGTCTTGTTTTCACCTGCTCTGTTGGCAAATAGTTTGAAATTCTGGAAGTTCTGTGCTAAAAAGCTGGCCCTCAGTGGGAATAGTAAGCAATGAATACTCCTGATTCTTTGAAAAGGACTTTGCCTATTTCCACTCACTTGAAAAACCTATTATCCTTAACAATTGTTAAATCTTTATAGTCTTGGGGCTTTGTGTCTGTTCCTTGAGTGTTTCCCAATGACTCTTACAAGCAATTTAGGGCCTGTTTTTAAGCAGATTCAAGTAAATCAGTTTATGATATTTCAAAATAGAGTATTTTTAAAACATATTTCCCCATGCTTTGAGACTTTGAAAAATTTGAGGGTGTTTTTAGGCAACACATAATATCAAGGCTAAATAAGAAATTAGGGCAATATAAAAGTGAAAGTACTCGTTTATACACACACACACACACACATAACCACTCCCACAAATACTTAAGCAATACTGTCTGATATAATTGGCCAGAAGTGGAAAATAAGTTGGCTTTCAGGTTTCTGTAAACCACAACTCAAAAGAAAAGTCAGTTATGTGGTTTTCATTGTAAAAAGAGTTTCTCACACCAAGCAAAGATCTTATAGCACTCAGCTTTAAAGATTACTCAGTAGACTTCAATGACATCTGCTCAGCACATATAGATTCAGAATCCATGAGGCTGCTTCTTGTGTGCCCTTCCAAACAGGTCAATTTCATAATCCTAAAAACAGACAAACAAACAAGCAAACCAGGAAGATCAGGCTGTGTTGAGTTAAAACAATTCCCAAGGATGTAATTTTCTTAAGTTCTTAGATTTTGGTATGGACCCTGACTAAAACCTAATACAATATAGAACAGAGAAATTATTATACTTTTGATTATTCATCTAACAAAAGATTTGATACGAAGTTCAATAATTGAAAGAGGTTCAGATAAGAACTTAAAAATCAGTCAAATGATGTTTAATAAAAATAAACACCGGACCAATCCCTCCTGGGGAACCATTCTACCTTGGTTGACAAATTTAGGTTTTATCCACATAATAACTTGGGACTACTTTTGAACTGAATTGCCATTTAAATGTGTTTTTAAGTATCAGCATATAACATGATATTTGTATGGGGTAAGCCTTTAAACAAATGAGAAAGAATAACAAATGAGGAAGAATACTTTTTTTAATTTTATTTTTTGCCAGCCGGAGTTAGACAGTGAGAGAGAGAGAGAGACAGAGAGAGAGAGAGATATAGACAGTGAGAGAGAGACAGAAAGGTCTTCCTTCTGTTGGTTCACTCCCCTAATAGCCGCTATGGCCAGTGCTGCGCAGATCCAAAACCAGGAGCCAGATACTTCCTCCTGGTCTCCCATGTGGGTGCAGGGACCCAAGCACTTGGGCCATCCTCTACTGCCCTCCTGGGCCACAGCAGAGAGCTGGGCTGGAAGAGGAGCAACCGGGACAGAATCTTGCACCCCAACTGGGACTAGAACCCAGGGGCGCCAGCGCCACAGGCAGAGGCAGGCAGTGCCGCGGCGACAGCAGAGAAAGAATACTTTTCAATTATCCAGTACAATAGCAACACCAGAACTAAAAATGTCTGTGCTCAGTCTTGGCTTCTCTAGTTAAAATTAGATTTGATTGAGTGAGCTAGATTCTTTGAACTTAATTCCACTTGGAAATATAGGAATAGGGATTTGTTATAGAATGTTTTTATTTAATAATTATAAATTTCATAGTACAACTTTTAGATTATAGCGGTTCTTCCCCCCATACCCCTCCTCCCACCCCCAAACCATCACACTTCCTACTCCCTCTCCTATCCCATGCTTCATTAAGATTCATTTTCAATTATCTTTATATACATAAGACCAACTCTATTCTAAGTAAAGATTTCAACAGTTTACACCCACACAGACACACAAAGTATAAAGTACTGTTTGAAGACTAGTTTTACCATTAATTCTCATAGTACAACACATTAAGGATAGAGGTCCTACATGAGGAGCAAGTGCATATTGACTCCTGTGTTGATTTAACAATTGACACTCTTATTTATGACGTCAGTGATCACCTGAGGCTCTTGTCATGAGCTTCCAAGGTTATGTAACCCTCTTGAGTCCACAAACTCTGACATTATTTAGACAAGGCCATAATCAAAATAGAGGTTCTCTCTTCCCTTCAGAGTAAGGTACCTCCTTATTTGATGGTTCCTTTTATCCACTGGAGTCTCATGCATAGAGATCTTTCCTGTAGGTCATTTTTTGCCACAGTGTCTTGGACTTGCATGCTTGAAATGCTCTTATGGGCTTTTTAGTCAGATCCAAATGTCTTAAGGGCTGATTCTGAGGCCGAAGTGCTGCTTAGGGCATTTGTCATTCTATGAGTCTGTGGGTGTCCTGCTTCCCATGTTTGATCGTTCTCTCCTTTTTAATTCTATCAATTTTTATTAGCAGGCACTGGTCTTATTTATGTGATCCCTTAGACACTTAATCCTATCTTTATGATCAATTATTAATTTAAACTGATTATATTAACTGGTAAAATGGCATTGGTACCTGCCAACTTAATGGGATTTGGAGTACCAAAGCAAGCTTTTACCTTTAGGGGTAAGTCCAAAGAATGTGTCCTGAACTGTACATCTCCTCCCTCTCTTATTCCCACTCTTATTTTTAACAGGGATCAATTTTCAATTGGATTTCAACACCTAAGAATAATTCTGTGTTAAGTAAAAAATTCAACCAATGGTATTAAGTAGAAAAAGAATAAAATAGTAAGCTTTTCCTTGACAGTCAGGACAAGGGCTGATCAAGTCATTGCTTCTCATAGTGTCAATTTCACTTCTACAGGTTTCCTTTTAGGTGCTGTTAGTTGTCACAGATCAGGGAGAACATATGATATTTGTCCCTTTGGAACTGCCTTATTTCACTCAGCATGATGTTTTCCAGATTCCTCCATTTTGTGGCAAATGAACGGATTTCATCTTTTTTACTGCTATGTAGTATTTCATAGAGTACATATCCCATAATTTTTTTTTTTTTTTTTTACAGGCAGAGTGGACAGTGAGAGATAGAGACAGAAAGAAAGGTCTTCCTTTGCTGTTGGTTCACCCTCAAATGGCCGCTGCGGCCGGTGCACCGTGCCGATCCGAAGGAAGGAGCCAGGTGCTTCTCCTGGTCTCCCATGCAGGTGCAGGGCCCAAGCACTTGGGCCATCCTCCACTGCACTCCCGGGCCACAGCAGAGAGCTGGCCTGGAAGAGGGGCAACCGGGACAGAATCTGGCGCCCTGACCGGGACTAGAACCTGGGGTGCCGGCGCCGCTAGGCGGAGGATTAGCCTATTGAGCCGCAGTGCTGGCTATCCCATAATTTCTTTTACCAGTCTTCCTTTGTTTGGCATTTAGGTTGATTCCATGTTTTAGCTATTGTGAATTGAGCTGCAATAAACATTGAGGTGCAGATAGCTCTTTTGTTTGTCAATTTAATTTCCCTTGGGTAAATTCCGAGGAGTGGGAAGACTGGGTCATACAGGAGGGCTGTATTCAGATTTCTGAGGTATCTCCAAACTGATTTCCATAGTGGCTTTACCATCAACAGTGGATTAGTGTGCCTTTTTCCCCATATCCTCACCAGCATCTATTGTTGGTAGATTTCTGTATGTAAGCCATTCTAACCGGGGTGAGGTGAAACCTCATTGTGGTTTTGATTTGCATTTCCCTGATTGCTAGTGATCGTGAACATTTTTTCATGTGTCTGTTGGCCGATTGGATTTCCTCTTTTGAAAAATGTCTGTTTAGGTCTTTGGCCCTTCTCTTAAGTGGGTTGTTTGCTTTGTTGTAGTGGAGTTTCTTGATCTCTTTGTAGATTCTGGTTATTTTTTTTTATTTGACAGGTAGAGTTATAGACAGTGAGAGAGAGAGAGAGAGAGAGAGAGAGAAAGGTCTTCTTTCTGTTGGTTCACCCCCCAAATGGCCAGTAAGGCCGGTGCTGCGCCAATCCGAAGCCAGGAGCCAGGTGCTTCCTCCTGGTCTCCCATGTGGGTGCAGGGCCCAAGCACTCGGGCCATCCTCCAATACCCTCCCAGGCCACAGCAGAGAGCTTGATTGGAAGAGGAGTAACCGGGACTAGAACCTGGTGCCATGGGATGCTGGCACTGCAGGCAGAGGATTAACCAAGTGAGCCACAGTACCAGCCCTGTAGATTCTGGTTATTAATCCTTTATCAGTTGCATAGTTTGCAAATATTTTCTCCCATTATGTTGGTTGCCTCTTCACTTTCCTGTTTATTTTTTCATACAAAAACTTCTCAATTTGATGTAATCCAAGTTGTTAATTTTGGCTTTGGCTGCCTTTGCCTCTGGGGTCTTTTCCAACAAATCTTTGCCTGTGCCCATATCTTGCAGGGTTTCTCTGATGTTCTCTAATAATTTGATGGTGTCATGTCATAGATTTAGATATTTTACCTATGTTGAGTGGATTTTTGTGTAAGGTGTAAGTTAGGGGTCTTGCTTCATACTTCTGCATGTGGAAATCAAGTTTTCCCACCACCATTTGTTGGATAGACTGTCCTTGCTCCTAAAAAAGGTTTTAGCTCCTGATCAAATATAAGTTGCTTTTAGATGTTTGGGTTGATTTTTGGTGTTTCTTCTTTGTTCCATTGGTCTATCCATCTGTTTTTGTACCAGTACCAGGCTGTTTTGATTATAACTGCCTTATAGTATGTCTTGAAATCGATATTGTGATACCTCTGGCTCTGTTTTTGTTGTATAAGATTACTTTAGCTATTCAAGGTCCCCTGTGCCTCCATATGAATTTCAGCATCATTTTTCCATACCTGATAAAAATGTCTTTGGTATTTTGATTGGTATTACATTGAATCTGTAAATTGCTTTTGGAAGAATGGACATTTTGATGATATTGATTCTTCCAATCCATGAACATGGAAGATTTTTCCATTTTTTGTATTTCTTCTATTTCTTTCTTAAAATTTTGTAATTCTCATAGTAGAGATCTTTGACATCCTTGGTTAAGTTTATTGCAAGGTATTTGATTTTTTTTGTAGCTATCATGAGTGGGATTGATCTTAGAAATTCTTTCTCAGCCATGGCATTGTCTGTGTATACAAAGGCTGTTGATTTTTGTGTATTGATTTTATATCCTGCTACTTTGCCAAACTCTTATATGAGTTCCAATAGTCTTTTAGTTGAGTTCTTTGGATCTCAGGAATTGAGATTTTTAAGACTGCTAAATAAGGAAAAGACATGCTGGTGTAGACAAGGGAAAAATGGAAGGAAAAAAAAATGGAGAAAGTGCATTCGCAGGGAAGAGCTGGAGATAAATCTGCAATGGAAACTCTACAATAGGAAGAGGGACTCTGTGGATCAGCATGGAAGGTGTGGATGCACAGAAATGAGCAAGGAGACCGCACACAATCTCTGCAGCCAAGAGCTAGAGGACACACCAGCTTTGAAGAGTGACGTGAGAGCAGACTTCAGCAGCCTGTGGCGCTGGTGATATTGCTGGAGGGAGAGCCTTGTGGACCAAAATATCTTAGTCCAACCTGGAGCCCCAGTGAGGGGCAGGGTACCTGCTTAACCCAGATGAAAAAAGCATTCTTTTTCTCTCCACCTCCAACTATAGTGACCTGCAATTGGCACAGAGAAGGTGGCATTTTGACACCAGTAGAGGCTGTTCCTTTTGTTTGCTTTGGATTTCTTTGTACCTTTACCAGGAAATCTGCCTTCACATTCATTCATAATGATGACTTTCTGTTTCTACGTGTAGCACATCCTTAAGGCTAGATGAGTGGTGACAGGATCATTAAATTTGTGTTTGTTATGGAAGCTCTTTATTTCACCTTCATTCATAAATGTGAGTTGTGCAGTGTTCAGTATTCTGAGTTGACAGGTTTGTTCTCTTTAAACTTGGATTATGTCTCTCCCTTATCTACTAGCCTGAAAGGCTTCTGATGAGAAATCAGTTGTCAGTCTAATTAGAGATACTCTGACACTAATCTGGCATTTCTCTCATGCACATTTTAGAATTTTTTCTTTATGTTTTACTACGTAAAGTTTGACTGTAATGTGTCATGGTGAAAATATTTTCTGGTCATGTCTGTTAGGAGTTCTATATACCTCAAGTACTTGGATGTCCCTTTCTCCAAATTAGGGATTTTTTTCTGTAATTATATCATAGGATAGGCCTTCTAATCTATTCTATAATTCATCTTCAGGAACTCCTAAGACCCATATGTTGGGTCATTTGATAGTATCCCATAAATCTCAAACATTATTTTTAGTTTTTTTAATTTGTTATCTTTTTTGGTCTGAGATATTTCTAAATATTTGTCTTCTAGCTCAGATATTCTTTATTCTGATTCACCAAGTCTATTGTTAACACTTTCCACCACATTGTTTATTTGATATATTGAATTGTTCATTCAATATGATGCTGGCCTAGTGTTTGTCATAAATTGCCTTGATTGTGTTGAGGAATGTTCTTTCTACACACAATCTGCTAAAGGTTTTCATCATGAAAGAATGTTGTATTTTATCAAAAAGAATATGAAAACACAAGAGACCCCAAATAGGCAAAGCAATCTTATACAACAACAACAACAACAAAAAGCCAGAGGCAATATAATACCAGATTTCAAGACATACTACAGGGAAGTTGTAATCAAAATAGCCTGATACTGGTACAGAAATAGATATATATACACCAATGGACAAGAATACAAACTCCAGAAATGAATCCATGCAGCTACAACTAACTAACCTTTGACAAAGTAGCTAAAATAATCCCTGGAGTAAGGACAGTGTTTTCAACAAATGGTGCTAGAAAAATTGGATCTCCACTTACAGAGGTATGAAACAAGACCCCTACCTTACACCTTATACAAAAATGAACTCACAATGGGTCAAAGATCTAAATCTATGAACTGATACCTTCAAATTACTAGTGGAGAACATCAAAGAAACTCTGTAAGACATGGGCATAGACAAAGACTTTTGAAAAATACTCCAGAAGCACAAGCAATCAAAGCCAAAATAGACAAATGGAATTTAACAAGCTGAGAAGCTTCTCTTCTGCAAAGTAAACACTCAGCATAGTGGAGAGGCAACTGACAGAAAGGGAGAAAATCTTTGCAAGCTATGCAACTGATAAAGGAATGATATCCAGAATCTATAAAGAGCTCAAGAAAATCAACAACAACTAAAGAAACAATCCAGCTAGAAATTGACAAAGAACTTGAACAGGCATTTTTCAAAAGAAGAAATTCAAATGGCTAACAGACATATGAAAAAATGCTAATAATCACTGTGATTTTCCTGTTTTTTACTTCTTGGGTATTATGTTTAGTGATGCATTAAGCCTGTGAATACAGAGTGGATTAAAATTATGAAAGGAAGAGAGGAAGCAGAGGGAGGAGAGTTGGGGGGGGGGGAAGGAGGGAAGTGTGGTTGTCTTCTTGAAACCGTATCTATGGAGTACATGCAATCTGTTCTCTTTATATTAATAACAGCCCTCTGCCATGTATTCGGTCTGTGTACACGTTGGCCATTGGTCAACCTCTGTGAGTTTATTTTCTCTGAATCTGGCTGCGAGTTTGTATTCTGTTTCCTCTCTGTTCTGCACCTCTTTTTCCTATATTTGGTACCCCATGTGAGGAGGTACCAATCTGTGCCCTTTTTTTCTTACATTTGAGTGCCTCGTGTGAGCAGGGGAGAGGAGGACCTGGTCTCTGGGTAAGAGCTGTGATCCCCCACCCTTCCTCTGAACTTGGTTCTCTTTTCTGAACTCCTTCCCCTTGTTACTGTCTCTGCCCAGCCCTGACTTCTTTATCCTACTATCTGCCCCTTCTTTCCTTTTGACCTTCTGACCCAGACAGCCCTGAGATACCTCTCCAGAGCATGTTCTCACTCCCACTTGCACTTTTCATTTTCCAACAAATTCACAGCCAAAGCCTTCACCAGATCTCATCACTACATGCCCACATCTGACCTAATTCTCAACTTAACAGATTGGTAAGAAAGGTCTCTGTCACATCAAGTGCGCTGGGACAGTGCTCATCACTGGTTCATCCCCCCTTGGAAGACCTGGGGTGTTCGGTTGGTTTCCCTTGTTTGGGGGAAACACTCACCTGCCACAGCTTAGAACTGGGATGCTGGTCTAAGCATGAGGATTCTTGCTCTCTCAGAGAACTCAGAACTTAAATTCTCGGTTGGGGTGATTCTTTCACGAGGACGCCCTGTGAAAGGATCCTCTTCCCTCAGATCATATTTTTCTTAATCCATTGTGGTAGAATGAGAAGGCCATGCCAAGGGGGCCGATGGCAAGCGAGCGTCAGTTACTCAGGAATGGCTTTGAAACCCACCTGGCAACAGGCTGTGATTGGATGGATTTGAAACTGCCTGGCAACAGGCTGTGATTGGATGGCTTTGGAAACTGCCTGGCAACAGGCTGTAATTGGTTGGGGCATAGACCGCTCCTTGACTAGATTGGCTGGTCTTGGCTATAGAAGATGTTGTCCCAACTGAAATAAATGAGTCTGTGGGCTGCTCGCCTCAAGCCCACTTTCACCCGACTCCCGGGGTCTGTGTGGTGACTCGCGCCTCTTGCCCCCACCAGGCTGTTCCTCTCAGAAATGAATCCACTGCAACATTGTTGAGAAATCAACTGTAACAATCCATAGGTTCCAAATTTTGACACCCCTCTGGCCTGCCTCCTAAAAGACGTGCACAAGCTGGGCCTGAGGGGGTGGTAAAGCAGAGGTGTTTAATTCATCTCTGTACTAAAAGTTGGCCTCAATATAAATTGGACAGTGATTTTAATTTGGCATTTTCATCTCAAAATTATCCAAGATTTTCATAACTATATACAGAGAAATGGCAAATGATCAGAGTTCCCTAAGGCCTAGAGCCTCCCCTTGAATCTTCTACCTTCCTACCTCTCCCCTCTCCCTCTCCATCTGAGAAGCCATCTCAGGAAAACACAGCCCTCCACTCACTGCATTCCTCCTCTCTAACGCCTCCTCTCTTCCGCTCCACCAATGTCAACAGGCGCAGTTGCCACCCCTCCACCCTATTCTCCCCAAGAGGAAAAGAAAACCTCCCTGTAGGCCCTCCACCCCACTGTTCTCTCCCTCATCACTTGCTCTGTGATACTGAACCTCCACTCTACCCGCCCCAGGACGCAGCTGAGCCTCCATCTGGCCATTCCTCCATAGCAGACCCACCTGATTCCCCTACACCTAAGCCTTCCTCCTCCTCTGAGATCAACGTTCCTCCTTCCAAGCCCTCAGGCAGGAGGAAGGCTTGGAGCCTCCTCTTGAGCCCTCGACTTTCCCTTCTTCCACTCTTGCTCTTTCCTCAGGGTGCTGCCACCTCAAGAACAGGACCCCCCTACTCTCCCTGCCCCCTGTCTGGCTCTTCCCCACTCCCCCTCACCTGCAGTCAAAACTGCCTCTCTTCTCTTCTGACTGCTCCCCCTCCTCTGTCCTGCACTCTCTCCTCCTGGGCATAGGGATACAGTGTAAAGTCTAGCAGAATGTTTATCGCTCTGGAAAGCCCCATACCTGGGACATTCCAGGCTCCTAAGACAATGACCCAGGAGTCTTTCTCACATCTTCCTGCACACCTCAGCTGGGTCTATGCTGTGCCCTGCACCTCTCCTAACAAGCAGCTCTGGAGAGGACTCTGCCTGCTGTTCAAATGTTCAAATGCAATGAAGCCTGACTTGAACACCCCTACCTCCACCCCTCCACGCCTACCCTCAACTCCTATCCTCCTTTTCTCCCCCACATTCTGAATTCCCTAAAATAAAGTCTTCTTAACTAGCCACCTCCTCTTCTTCTGCAAACACTAAAATCCTAAAACCTAACATAATGGAGCCACATTTGCACATTGCACCTTTCCAGCCATCTCCGGTAATATTTTTGGCAGGGATAGCAAAGAAAAACTCCAGAACAATGGTAAGTTCTGAGCAACTTTGCTCCAAAAAATGCTCATGCCTAACTCCCTTCTATCTTGTCTCCTGCCTTGTCTAGTGGCAGCCAAAATCTCCTTGCTAAGACCTGAAACTGTTTTGTTGTTCTTTCCCGTAATGTATTATACGTGTGTACATATTGTATGTCTACAGGGAAAATTTATTAACATGTTTTAATTGGCTTACACTTGTGTTAGATATTCAGGAAATATGTGTTCTTAAAATTTATAGAAGGCACTGGACCTTTTGGTAAATGTTTTCAAATGTTTTCATAAGTTATTTGACAGCTAAAATTTCTTGCTAAATTTTCACTTGATATTGAGCAATCTGGGAAGCCTGACTTGTTTCCTCACTCCTCTCTTCTCTTCAAGATGAAAAACTGATTCTATTCTCTAGAACTCACCATCACAACATAAGGCTTGATCTTTAGACCGTATACAAGACAGTTCGGTCTGAAGGTGGTCTTAATGTTTGATCTTACCTAGGAGGGCACAGCTTTGCTCATGGGCATCATCTTATCTCACAGGAAGAATATTGTCATAACATGCCTGTGACCACAGATTTCTATCTCAGGCCACCAAAGATTAGGGGCCGGATTGAGCACCCACTTGGCTGACATTCCTAGAGGCTGCCTCTTTGGCCTACTTTTTTATGATTTATTTTATTTATTTGAGAGGTACAGTTACATAGAGAGGTAAAGACAGAGAGAGAGAGAGAGAGAGGTCTTCCATCTGCTGGTTCACTCCCCAAATGGCTGCAATGGCTGGAGCTGAGCTGATCCAAAGCCAGGAGCCAGGAACTTCTTCCTGGTCTCCCACATGGGTACAGGGGCCCAAGGGCTTGGGCCATCTTCCACTGCTTTTCCAGGCCATAGCAGGGAGCTGGATCAGAAGAGGAGCAACTGGAACTCAAACCAGCTCCCATATGGGATGCCGGCACTGCAGGCTGTGCCACAGAATCAGGTCCTGTGGCCTCCTTTTGACAGAGACCAGGAAGAAGAGTAGTGAGTGAGGTAGCGGGGACAGTGTAAGGATAGGTGGGAGGCCAACTAATGGCTGCTTTACATGGTGATCTGCTATCCAGAAGACCCAACAAGGCCAGTCCACCCCCAAAGGGCACCTGTTTTTGATATGAGCATTTGGGGCATTAGGCAAGCAGCTGTCAGTTCTGTCAGCTCTGCCAAGAGCCAAGCCACTGGAAATGGAATTGCCCTAAGAATTGAAGAACTCCTAGGTCAGAACTGCAGACTCTTTTGGCCTCAAGCTGAAAAAGCCCTTCACTCTGCCCATCTTCCCTAGTAACCACTGCCATCAAGGGGGACAGCCTAGGGTCGGTCAGTAGCAATCTAAGCAGAGCTATAGATTTGCTTTGGAGATGCTACCTATTTGATACCAGCCTCCTATGCAGGCCAGCTCTCCTCCCAGGCCACCTAGGTAATGGAAGTCAACAGGGCGCCTTCTCTAAGAAGGTTCACACTTCCGTTATGATATCTCATCTAGTACCACATGTGAAGAGATAGATAGGTTTGGACCTCACATATACCTAGCCAAGCTGTAATGCCCACCTGATTATTATCATGCCCCTCCTGTCAGTCTCTGTTTGCCTCTCACTGGCAAAACTCCCTCCTTTCTTAGGTCCTCTAATAATGACTGTGTCCTTAGTTTTAGACCCTGTATATTTAATCTGCTTAGATTCATTTGCTCCAGGTAATAAAATTCTTGATGGTCATGCACATGAAACCTCGAATGGAGACAGTTTCTGTGAGCTGGTGCTGCAGCCCCTCAAGAGGCTACCTTCTGTTGGAATCCTGTCTTGATCACAGTCCCTACTCTACCCCTACTCAGCTTGAAGAACTCAGGTACAGTCCTTGCTCAAACCCCTGACAGTAGCTAAGGTTTCCATAAGCAGAGGGAGGAAACGAAGGAGCCCAGGACTAGTAGCAGGCCAGACTAACTGCATCCCACAGCTCTTTGCCAGCACATGCACACTAAACAAAATGGGAGCGTTCTTTCTCTTTGGCAACCAGCCATATGGACAGGACTCTTGCTTTCCTATTTTCCCCTTTGTCCTAATTTTGGCCATCATTTTCACCATGAACAATGGTTCTAATTTCTCCTTTTATCCTCATAATAATAGTGCCCCTACTTCTACCATGTATAATTAGCATATTTCAAAAGGCTTACAGGAGCATATGACTGCTGTATCCCAAGCCATCATGAAGGAACAACACAAGACTGCTGTTCTTTAATCCATCCAATGCCAAGTATAGATCCTTGCCTCATATCCATGCCCCATATCAGTAGGAAGTAGCCATAAAGGAGCCGGTGCCCCATCTTCTCCCATCTCCTCTTCTATACTCTCAGTCAGGATTGATGGGACAAGGACATAGGCCTCAGCCATTTTAGGTTCTTGTTACCCCTACCAGTTCAGTCTCATACCCTGTATTGTTCCCCACCCCACCCCCTGCATTCTTCCCCAGGTTTGGAAGCCAGTGGGACAAACTTGAAGAGCTAGTATGCAGAAGCTCATATCCACCTACTGCCCCCAACCCCCACTCCAAGCCCACCTAAGATATAAAAAGCCCCAGCCTGCTGGGTCTGGGCCCTCTGTCATGTGTTGGTCTATGTACACACTGGCAGTTGGTCAACCTCTGTGAGTTTATTTTCTCTGAATAAATCCAGTCTAGCTGAAAAAAAAAAAAAAAAGAAAGAAAGTGCCTTCACCGATAGGATTGGACAGCACCTAATCCACTAAGGGTACAAATAGAACAAGAAGATGGAGGAAAGGCAAATACTTTCTTCCTGTTTGTGTTTCCTGAACTTCCAACTTCCAGGTGAGAGACCCTGGGACTTCTCAGCCTCCACCATCTAAAATCCATTCTCTCATAATAACACTCTTCCTGTTTAACTGTAAATCTCCTGTTGATTTCGTTTCTATGGAGGAACCTAATATTCAGTTCTACCTGTGTTTATTTGAGTACCTACCCAATGCATCCAATGAGACAAAAGACATAAAAGCATGGTCCTCTTAAAACGGATTGAGATTAGGATGCAAACTCTAGAACAATTTGTTGTTATATGATTCAGCCAGTGTTCCAGCAGTAATGACTCTGCAAATTGAGAGCTGTTGGGAATTGAGAGCCTCTTGGCTTCTGAAAGCTCTAGAAGACACCATGGCATGTTCGCCTCCTCTTCTTCATCAGGCCCTCTATGATCTTATCACATAGTATTCATTAATAAGCCCTGAAAATTGGTAAAATGTGTAATGAAAATCATTTTGAATTGCACTAGAATTGAGAGCTGTATTCCATTTTCCATATGTGATTCAATTTTGTTGCATTAGCACAGATCTTAAAAGATAATAAAATTTGAGTCATTTTTACATCACATAG